CCGGGCCCGGCGGCCTCCAGAGCGGCCAGACCATCGCGCTGCCCGCGCAAGGTCTCATCGAATTCCGCGACGCGCTCGCCAAGCTCATCGACGACTACGGAGGCGAGGACGACGAGCTGGCCGGAGGCCCAGGAGGCGGTGCCGGCGGCCCCGGGGGCGGCCTGTACGGGGAACTCCCGGAGGGCACCTCAATTACGGTGGACTCCAAACGTTTCTTCTTCGATGTGGGCTGCAACAAGTACGGAGTGTTTCTGCGCGTGAGCGAGGTGAAGCCGTCCTACCGCAATGCCATCACCGTGCCCTTCAAGGCCTGGGGCAAGTTTGGTGGCGCCTTCTGCCGGTATGCGGATGAGATGAAAGAAATCCAGGAGCGGCAGAGGGATAAGCTTTACGAGCGTCGTGCTGGGGGCAGTGGCGGCGGTGAGGAGTCCGAAGGCGAGGAGGTGGATGAGGATTGAAACGGCAGCTTTCCCCACTGGCCTCCCCCACCCTGTTACCCGCGCCCCCCACCCCCCATCCCCCTGGCTAGTTCCCATTCTTGCTCATTCCCCTGTGAGCTAGTGGAGAGGGAGCCCGGGAGGCCACCAAGGGAGAAAAAAAAAACCAACAAAATTAAAAAAAAATAATATAGTTAAGAGAAATAACCATAAGACAACAGTCTTGGACAGTGAGTAAAGCAGTAAAGTTCCAGAAATTGACAGCAACCTGCAAAGAGAGGACAACAGCATCTCCTCACCTGCAAGAGTCTCAGCTTCTATTTCCCACCCGAGGTTCCTAAGCTCATCTAGATAATCCTGAAGGGGATAGATTTCGAGTCTGGGCCCCTAAACACATCTGACTTACCCAGATCCATCTGTGGATAACAGTTGAATTTGTGTTGTACCTGGGTAAATCTAAAGTATCTCTCCAGCTGCCGTTGCAGTGTCTATCCTTCACCTTCATTGTAATCAGCCTTTTGGATCGAGATCTTCACGGAAATTCTTGAGACAGAGAGACCTTTGCACTTACCCAGTCCTGAGAGTCCAGGTTTATGAAAAGGAATGCAACTTTACACAATCATGGACAAGGCAAAAAAGAATTCAAGAAGCCATCAGCGAATCAAAACAAATTGGATTTTTTTTTTAATGGTTTTGCATGGAACCTGGCCCCATGTCTTTTCTTTGCAGAATTGTTTTCCGGGATGCGAAAATTCAAAAGCCAATGCTTGAACTAGAGAATTCATTACTAAAATGGTTTAAAAGTTGGGCAAAAGGAATTTTTTTTTCAAAAAATAAAAGCAGTTTTACATTGGGGGTTGCTGAGGTAGGCACAATAAGTCAGGCATAAAGCACAAGGCGAACTCGTTGAGTGGATGGGTTGCTGCTCACTAAAGTTCTTCCCTTGATCTCTAAAGGTGGAGGTCATTACCAAGAAGTGGCATTGGTGTGAATGAGAGCCAGATCCCATGGCTCTACCATATGAGCCAGTGAATTATGGCTAATTTGGCTGTTACAGCCACTGGTTGGCTGCATTTTAAACTGTAAAACTTGATGATTTTCTGAAAAAGGAACCGTGTGGCTACAAGCCTGAGCTTTAATGGAATATGCATCCTCACAGAGAAGTTGGAAATAACTAAAACTGAAGTCTTAATTCACCTTCAGTTTAATCTGTGGATTTGTTCAAATACTAAAGATCCTCAGGTTCAGAATTCCAGCATCATTTATTCTTTAAAACAAATTTTTAAGAACTTGATCCATCTTATTAGTACCTCACAATCAAAGTTGGCAAATGATGGATGAATGATTCAAGCAGTGCACCCGGTGGAAGCTGAAATCCATCTGTGAATGGAACTGATGTGAACGTGAATATGCTGACTATATCCTGGAAGCATTTTTATACCATCTTGAAATTGCAACATACTGGCATTGGCCAGTTTATCCAGCTGTCTTTCAAGAATAAAAGTTGGGGTTTTCATGGATCGCCTCTTCTATATTTTAAATGGATTTTCAGTAGAAATGATTTTTATTAATCAAGTTAATCCCACCCCATCAAAAGGTATTTCTAGAAATGTCACAGGCCTAGGAAACTTTGAATTGAATGGGAGCTAATGTTCTATCCAAAGTTTTCAGGTATTCTTTGTGTGACACCTTCTCAACTAGGAGGCAAGTAACCCCACCTCCACAATCTTAGTATTTTTTTTTAACTGCATGCCTGCCCTTTATTTGAGCTGCCTTTTTAATTTATTGCATATCCTTTTTATTATCTTATTTTGGTATTCAATCTATACAATCTTTTTGTATTTATTGGGAAATAAGTAATATACAAAAAGGTCATTTTCATGTATTTGTGGCTGAGAGGGAGGGAGATACTTGTGTATATAAAATTAGGCTTTTTTTTTTAAACTAGACTATGATTCAGAATAATGTTGATCTTAGGTTCAAAGAAATAGAAGAGCCACAAACATTGGTGCCCTTTTCAGACTATTTCTCTACTCACATCATTCATAGTAGAATTTTTAAACATTTTTTAAAGCTTTTCTTTTCAATTTTTCTCCGTTGCAAAGAATGTTTCCTAAATTGTATGGGAGCAATAGTATTTTTGATGTTTTAATGACATCCGTATACTTGTACTGTATTTTGTACCACAAGGCAGCTGTTTTCAATAATGTCCTGCTGTATTTACCTATGTGTTTTGAGTGTTTTGTTTCTTTGCTGCGGAGAACAAATTCCTAGTTTTAGTAAAGGAGATGAGAAGCTAGCATTAGGCTTGCAGAAACTGCTTAAGTTTCAACTCTGAGGCAGCAATGAAAATTAAGGTTGCAGCTATTAGTTGATCGCTGTAACTTTTTCATTTTCAAATCATGTACAATTCCTGTATAGACCAACTTGTTTTCTTGCTTCAGTGGTGATTCTGTTGCTCAGCTGCAGTGAGCCAGTTCAATTTTGCAAAGGTGCAGTACCTCTCCTTTTCAAGGGAGTGGTTTATTAATCTTTTTTCTTTTCTTTTTATTTGGCTGAATTGCAGTAACTAGCCTTGCCTTTCTATTCTGTAGAAATGACAGGGTCTTCACAATCCTTTACCAGTGGCTACTAAGCTATAATTAGCTGAATAGAAAGAATGTGGAAGTGGTCTGAGGCGTATAGAGTATATGCCAAGAACACTACCATATATGGCATCAGCTTTGGTTACCAGAGAAATTTTCTTAGTCATTAGACCATATAACAGTTATATATCATATGTAAGTCTTTAGATATCAATTTGAGAATCCTCCAAAAAAAGGAGCAAAGAATGCGTAAGCTATGTGTTGGCAAAAGTAATTTATATTAAAATTTTGACCTGCCTGTGTAAGATTAAGTGGTGAATGTCCTAGTGGTGGGTTTTTAAGTCTTAAACCAATCTCTGAGGTTTATTTTTCCTGCAGGGGTGTTTCATGGCCTCTCTTCCACTGTAGGAAGATTGCAGAAGGATGTGGATTAATTGTAGCATTTCACTGATCCTCATTCCAGTGACTAGGGACAATAGAAATCTGCAGAGCATGGAGATTCATTCATTAATACTAGCTTATTAAAGGAAATAGTCTTTGTTCCAGTTAGATAATGGCATTATACAAACTCTGGGAAGCAACTTTCTTGTTTTGTTTTTAGCTGCTTATTACAAACGCTTTAGAAGTTGTTTTTAAAATTTGGCAAACATCCCAGCTAATGAAAATAGTTACATTCCTTAGAAATAGGGAACTAAAACTCCTTTTCAAAAAATTGAGTTTTATTTCAAACTAGCTACAGAGATAAGCTTTTTTTTTTTTTTTTCCAAACAGTCAAAAGAGTCGGTCTCTGTGAAGAGATGTTACTCTTTAGGTTTCTATTGTCCCTTCTCATCATTTCAGCAAGTGAAATGGCAATTCTGGTGAGCAGATCTTTCAGTGCATATGCTGCACCAAACAAAATGTCAGTCTGTATAGCACCAAAAATCAAACTGAAAAGTAAACCAAAAACCCAAATACCCTATGGAACTGTTGGAGGCATATAGGTGGTACAACTGGCTGTAGCTGTGGTACACACATGGCTACTTGTCATGTCACTTTCCATAATTATTTACTGCAGAATGATTGAGAGGCTTTTGGTGCAGGCAGCCATTAACCTCCTGCTTCCTTTGTTACTCTGGGTCACTTTGCAGTAAATTGCAGGTCTTTTAAGAGATTCAAGCTTCGGTTTTCTCAAAACAAAACAATTATCTTGTCTTATCTGAAAATGCAGGGTTGTGGGCAAAAGAGGCTGGTTATAATAATGCCCTCATATTGAGTGGTCTGTAAATGGCTGCACACTTCAGGCACTGTAGTTGCCGAAGATGCTTAAATATGACCTTGACTGGCTTTACAGGGGTGTAGAATGTAATCTACACAAGGTGACTGTGCATCTACCTTGCTCTTGAGGTGGATAAAATTAAGAAGCTGGAGTGTGTAAGCCATGCACATAAGTATTCTTCACTGTAAATTTTGTTTTCATTTTTAACCCAATTATGGTACTTTGTCCAATGCACAACTGATCTCTCAGTAGATATTCATTTGAAAATCGTGTGGCCTTGCTCAGTGAGAAGGGAGAGGAAAGAAGTGACTTTTTGCTTATATGAAAATGACTTGTTTGCTGAGAGTTGTTCTATAACACTCTAGGTATGTTTTTGATTGTATCCTTTTTGATTGGGAAAGTTAATGTTTTGATCCTGGAGCTAATTCAATTGAGTTTTCTAAGTATCAGAATTGCTCTGATGAATAACAAAGTTGACAGCTTTGATGTCCAATCTCAGGTTTTTTAAAATATAGTGGAGTGAAATCCCCACTATTATGAATTCTTTAAATCAATATTAATTTAGGACACCTTAAAAGTCTTGTGCATAAGTAAGGCCTGTTCAGAGAGCAGACCTTTTTGCTCCTTTTCCACAATTGTACGTCACTTGAAAAAGTGTCAAGTGATTTTTGCATTGTATATTTCCATTTTATCCCTGACATATTTCTCAAAGATAAAGCACTTTTTGATCATGAAATGCATAGGATCTTTGTGTGATGTGGATCATGGTTTCTCAGGCTCCCCTAGATATTCTGTTTATGAATATTATTCTAACTTTATGTCAGGAGAGTAGAAATCTTTGCTAACGTTAGAAAGTTTGTATTGTTGATTCAGAATACATTTTGCTAGTTTCCAATGGATGGGAGAGTAAAAAATGCTGCATTCACAATTTAATAAGTTACTTTCCCTTAAGCCTTAAGGTAACTTTTTCTTTTCTGTCAACAACAGCACTGAAGTTACAGTAAATGAATGAGATTATCAGTTTTCAGGGTTGTTTTTAGAGTACTGTAAATCAATTAGCTGTCTTCCGAAAGAGTTACAATTCCCATTCAATATACTGGATAATGGGTGTAAGGGTGGGGGTAGGGCAGGGTGGGGGGGAGATAGTTTGTAGAAAAGAAAAAAGAAAAAAAGAACCATGTTTACCTTAAAATACAGACAAGAAAAAAGTCCATATGTCCCATTTGAAATTCCATACGCAAGGTGGAAATGACAAATTACAGCCTCATTTCCTCTGCTTTTAATTTAGAAAAAAAAGTATTCATTTTTAATATTAGCTTCAGAAGTTTCTTGAGATAACTGGACTCTTGAGTAGCAATTTCCATTAACATATCTGACTTGACTGTGTAAGTCATCCTCAGACCTTATTCTTAAAACCTAGTTTCATTACTGGAACATGTGCAATCCACTTTTCAGTACTGAAAGTTAAATTCAGAAAATAGAAAAATAAAATTGCATCAGCATTGTAAAGATTTCTTGTCCTGGGGATTCCCAATTGCAATGTGTCCCCCTGAATCAAGCAAGGCCTTTGTGAATGCCTTTTGTATTTCCTAATGCAGTATGGAATATGCTGTCCACTTCTGTTCACAGTCTTAACTCTCGTTTGAGAATCTAACTCATGCCTTCTTGGAATTAGACATTCCAATTGGGACAGATAGAACCATGTTAAAACGAGCAGATGCCATATTGTTAGCTTTACCACAGTAAACTAGTAAAAGGGAGAGCACAACTTTATTAGAAGCTAAGCTAGCATGATAGTGAAAGTTTTTAACTCAACTTTTCTAATAGATTTTTGAATCTGGGAGCAATTTTTATTTTCCCCATGCTATATCTGCTCTCCACTGACAGATAAGAGAGGGCACACAGTGAAATGAAGGTCCAGAGTTGTGAAGAGAAAGTGATAGATACATGACGTGGCCACTAGCATTTTGCAGAAGGCATGAGTTTGTTCTTTTTTCCTACGTTCAGCATCTCTTCAATGGCTAACTTTTTCAAGACTCACTGAGACCATCTCTTAAAGGCAAAATGTTTTGTCCTGTGTTGCAGGATCAGGCTGGTCAGAAAAATCTGTGCTTGGAAATAGAAGGGCAAGTGGATTGTTTCTTCCCTTTTAACATTTCTTCTTGGGAGAAAAAAGTACAAGAGACTCAAAGAAAATGAAAGAACAGGATTTTATCACTAAACACATTTGGAGGTTTTGTTTTAAATTGATAATAAGCATAAATCCTTTTCTTCTACCATGTCACTCTTCTGTGTAAAAAAGCTCTCTGGAGCTGGGCATGGTGGAACATGCCTGTAATCCCAGGTATTTGGGAGACAGAGATAGATCGTGGCCCAAGGCCGGCCCTGGGCAATAAACAAAAGACCCTATCTGAAAAATAAAGCAAAAAATAATACCAGTAATACGACTGGGCGTGTAGCTTAAGTGGTAGAGCATTTGCCAAGCAAACACAAGGCCCTGAGTTCAAAACCCAAAGTTCTACCTAGGGGAAAAAAAAGTCTAGAAACTGACTTTCAGTTAGTGTAGACACATTTTTTACAGTCTATGGTTTTGCACATTCCAATAGGAGGCAAGTAGTATTTGAGTTATTTTTCAGTGGCATCAGTATCAAGACTATATCAGTGTATCTGAATGTTTTTCTGAAGTCCTAGAACATCTATATTATTAAGCATTTTGTTTTCCTTTTGGACTTTCATACAGATGTCTTTCTAAAATCATTTGTTAAGATCACCTGTTCTGATACAGTGCTACATAGCATGTTTTTGTTCTGTGGGAATCTTCAGAGACAGTTCCATCTATTGGTAGCTTTGTTAGACTTGGCTCTTCACTCCAAAGCGGGGGACTCATGTCCTTCCAGTAGAGAATCTACAGAAGTTATTTCAATTAAAACCAAATCTTGATAGCAGGAGACAGCTTCCTGATCTAAATGTACAATTAGAGTTTAGGTTGGCAATTACTTTAAAAGGTTGTTTTTTGTTCTTTTTTTTTTTTTTTGGAGAGGGTTGTCTTTGATCTCTGTAAATACCAACAAGCTTATACATTGTAAGCCAAGTGCGTATGCCTATGTATGAATTTGTAGAGCTGATTTCTGCTTCAAGTGAAGCTGCACCTTTCATTTTATAAAGTTCCCTCCACCCAGAATCCTATAAATGTTGTAAATAGAACATGGAAATTATAGTAGTAGGATCAATTTGAGAATATCTGCTGAGAGACCAAAAAGTTCATTTTTTTAAGTACCTTGGTTAATTAAAAAGTAAAAAGATTATTTCTCTTGCTTATTTTTGAAAAGAAGAATGCACTTTAACATAGAGCTGCATGGGCAATTCAAACAAATCCGTGAAGTGCAGTACCCATCCAGAAATCACACTTCCTGAAAACCGTTCAAAAAGCAGAGTCCAGACGGGCTGTTGATCTCACTGCCTGTAGGTTGAAGCTCAGATTCTGAACAATTTTGATACGTGCAGGGCTGCTTCAAAAGAGCAATGTGAATACAGCCAGAAGCTTCGGACAGGTCTGTAAAATAGCGGGTCCCGTATTTACCACTAACTAGCAAAACTGACAGAAAACTCATAGAAAAAGTTAAGAATCCTTCCTGCTGGTGTGCACTCCTTACAATAGCAGACTTTTGCAAATGGAGTTTTACAGTCTATATTTAAAGAATTGTATGTTTGTAACAAATAAAGTATGCGGAAAAGTGAATGACAATCTTGTGCCATTGTCTCTTTTTTTAAGTTTGTGTTAGTCATTACTGGGGGGGAGGGGAAGTATGATCTGTGGGGGTCACAAATGCATATGGGTTTGAGAAATTTCAAATCACTGAACATTTCATTAAACTATATAGCCAGTCTTTTGGGCTTTTATAATCCTTTAATAGTGGGGTGCTGGGTGCTCAAGCCTGTAATCCTAGCTACTCAGGAGGCTGAGATCTGAGGATTGTGGCTCAAAACCAGCTTGGGCAGGAAAGTACATGAGACTAATCTCCAATAAACTACCAGAAAACTAGAAGTGGCACTATGGCTGAAGTGGTTTAGCGGTAGCTTTGAGCTGAATCGCTGAAGGACAGTGTCCAGGCCCAGAGTTGAAGCCCCATGACTGACAAAAAAAAACCTACAGAATAAATTCAAGTCCTAAATAGCTTTATACTTTGGTCTATAATCCAGACCAATCACTTCTATTTTTTTTTCTCACAGCTCAAAAACTGCTGTCCAAGCTTTCATTGTTTATCAACACAACTGTTTAGGCAAATTATACCAGTCTCCTTTTGTCCTAATGTTAAATCAGGAAAATATAATTTATGTGTCTATATATCCTGTCCCGTAGTCTCAGTATCTCCTTTACACTTAAGGAGAGGCTGAGCACCATTATTTTAAGCCTGTAATCCCAGATGATTGAGAGGCCCATGGTTTTAGGCCATCCTTGACAAGAAGTTATACTGTATCTGTAACCCTAGATACATAGGAAAATTGCAGTCCAATTTTTGCCCCAGGCAAAAAATTTTGCACTCAGCTCAAAGCAAGACCTCTGCCATTTGAGCCATAGCGCCACTTCTGGCTTTTTCTGCTTACGTGGTGCTGAGGAATCAAACCCAGGGCCTCATGCATGCAAGGCAAGCACTCTCCCACTGAGCCACCTTCCCAGCCCCAAAATGTAAGACTTATCTAAAAAATAAAGCCAGAAGAGTTGGGGCATGGCTTAAGTGGTAGATTGCTTACCTAGGAACTATGAGGCCTTGAGTTCAAACCCTACATACAGATGGTAGTGTGAAGGCAGGGGAAACCTCACTACCAAAGCAAGCACAATGAAATTTTCATTCTGGAAAACACTATGGACTTGAGAAAATTAATATGAAAAAGAATTGTCATGAACAAAATTTTGACTTCTCAAATTCCCTGAAACCCGGGCATTCGTGGCTCATGCCAAACTAACCAGCAAAGATTCAGGCTACAGACTGACTCAAGTGATAGAGCACCAAACAAGCAAGCAAGCAAGGCAGGTTAAGTTTGAGGTCCTGAGTTCAAACCCCATAGTGGCAAAAAAAGAAAAGAACTCCCTAATAAAGCTTCAGGAGGGGCTGGGAAGGTGGCTCAGAGGTAAAGTGCTTGCCTCACATAGCATGAGGCCCTGGGTTGAATTCCTCAGCACCACATAAAAGACCAGAAGTGACCCTGTTGCTCAAGTGGTAGAGTGCTAACTTTGAGCTGAAGAGCTCAGAGAAAGCATGCAGGCCCAGAGTTCAGGCACCACGACCGACAAAAAAAATAAAAATCTCTGGAACAGCACCTAAGCCCCAGGGCTGGAACACACAAAGTATAAGGAAAGGGAATCGGGTGCCGGTGGCTCACCCTATAGTTCTAGCTACTCAGGATGCTGAGATCTGAAGTTCAAAGCAAGCCTGGGCAGGAAAAATCTGAGTGTCTTTTTAAATTTTTTTTTATTTTGAAAATACTGTACAGAGGGGTTACAATTACATTGGCAAGATAGTGAGTACATTTCTTATCAAGCATTGTAGCCTCCTCCTTTGTTTCCCCTTCCCATTCCTTCTCACCCTCCTCCCTACCCCCAGTCTTGACTCCAATTAACCACCCAAAAGCCACAAGTGGAGCTGTGGCTCAAGGGGTTGAGCATTAGCCTTGAGCAAAAAAAGCTCAGGGACAACGTCCAGGCCCTCAGTTTAAGACCCAGGACTGACACAAGAGAAACGCTTGCAAACGGATTATTGGAGCACTGAGAAAGCTCTGAGGGGTTCTCCATAGAGAACCCCTTAACATGATCCAGTCACTCAGAGCCCAAAACAGATTTCTGAGTGAATAGCATGAATAGGCCTCAACCAGAGAATTTGCTTTTCTAACAAGTCCCTGGTAATGCTGAAGCTGCCTTGGTTTATGGACTATATGTAAAGACTTGCCACCTCACCTGGTGCTGATGGATCACACCTGTAATCCTAGCTACTCAGGAGGCTGAGATCTGAGGATCGCAGTTTGAAGCCTGCTTGGGCAGTAAAGTCCTCATGAGACTCTTTTTTTTTCTCAAGGAATATACTTTATTAATCTACCTCTCAGACACTAGAAATTAAAATTCAACTGAAATAGAAGAATCTATATACAATCTATATACACAGTACTGCCTAAGGGCCAGTTGGGGCTGCTCCTAGTTCTTGAACCAACTCCTCTCCAATAAACTACTCAAAAAAGCCTGGAAGTAAGGCTGTGGCTCAAGTGGTAGAGCATTAGCCTTGAGCACAAAGAGACTCAGGGACAGTGCTCAGGCCCGGAGTTCAAGTCTTACAACTGACAAGAGAAAAAAAAAAAATTGCCACCTCGATTGATAAAATTTGGGTAGGGCAGGGCAGTCATTACTCAGTTGTCATGAATTTGTTTTGTGATTGCTTCAGAAAGATGTGGTCTGGTTCACCTTGAACACCTACCTGTAGGTTGTTTGGCTTCAGCTTTATGAGAAGTTTAAGGAGTAGTTGCAGACAGGCTATGTCCACAAAGAGCTTCATTAGAGCCAATACCTCATTTTGGCCTTGTTGAAGCTAGATTGTATGCCCAAGTATGTGTCCAAAACTACTAGTGTGAGTCTAGAAAAATCATCTTTCACACGTAAAAATCCATCAGGTCTGCCAGGCATTGGAGTACATGCATATAGTTCCAGAATTTTGGAGGCAGGCAAAAGGACCAGAAAACAAAGACAAAAAAAAAAATCTTCAGTGGGACTGGGCGAAAATGAGAGCCACTACTAAAGTCTTTTAAGTCCATTCATCCAATTAATGATAGGACAGCTACTATAGTCCAGGATTGTGGGAGAGATCAGGGACATGATACATGGTTCCATGGCAGGCAAAACTTGGTAAGGAGAAAAAAGTTAGCTTTTAGAAGAAATCGGTCTCCTAACAACCAAGTACATTTGATTTACAGTCTCATTCTTGGCAAGAGACAAGTCCAAGTGATAGAAGATATTCTCACAAACTGTACATAACTTCTCATCCTGATACTGGAATCTCAAATATGTAATTTTATCTACTCAGGTGATCAAGAGGATGGTGGTATAAGACAACCTGGCTAGGAAAGTCCAACTGACCAGCAAAATGCAGAGCTAAGAAAAGTCCATGTGATGGGCTGGGAGGGTGGCTCAGTGGTAGAGCGCTTGCCTTGCATGCCTGAGGCCCTGAGTTCGATTCCTCAGCACCACATAAGAAAAAAGAAAAAAGCTGGAAGTGGCGCTGTAGCTCAAGTGATAGAGCGCTAGCCTTGAGCTGAAGAGCTGGGACAGCGCCCAGGCCCAGAGTTCAAGCCCCACAACTGGACCTCCCCCCCCAAAAAAAGAAAAGTCCATGTGGCTGGGAAGGTGGCTCAGTGGTAGGGTGCTTGCCTTGCAT